TGTTGACCAGGATGGTCTCGATCTCTTGACCTCGTGATCCACCCGCCTCGGCCTCCCAAAGTGCTGGGATTACAGGCTTGAGCCACCGCGCCCGGCCTCAAATTTTATCTTAAAATATTTCACTAAGGGCCAGGCACAGTGGCTCACATCTGTAGTCCTCGCACTTTAGGAGGCCGAGGAGGGCAGATCACCTGAGGTCAGGCGTTCAGGACCAGCCTGGCTAAGATGGTAAAATCGTGTCTCTACTAAAAATACAAAATTAGCCAGGCATGGTGGTGGGCACTTGTAATTCAAGCTACTTGGGAGGCTAAGGCAGAGAATTGCTTGAACCCGGGAGGCAGAGGTTGCAGTGAGCTGAGATTCCGTCACTGCACTCCAGCCTGGGCAAGAGAGTGAGACTCCATCTCAAAAAAAAGTTATGAAATGGTGGATTACATCAATATTAGTATTCTGGTTGTGATACTGTATTTCTCCCCTAATCTTATCATCAGGGGAGAAAAGGTAAGTACACAGGATCTCTGTATTATTTCTTACAACTGCATGTGAACCTATAATTAGCTTAATGAAACTGTAACTTAAAAATAAATATAAATAGAAGTTTTAAATAATATGTTCTAATAAGGAAAGACTTTTGAGATATATTATTATTTTTTGAGATAGAGTCTCACTCTGTCACCCAGGCTAGAGGGCAGTGATGCAGTCTCAGCTCACTGCAACCTCCGCCTCCTCGGCTCAAGCGATTCTCCTGCCTCAGCCTCCCAAGTAGCTGAGATTACAGATATCCACCACCATGCCTGGCTAATTTTTGTGTTTTGTTTTTAGTAGAGACGGTGTTTCACCATGATGGCTAGGCTGATCTTGAACTCCTGAACTCAATTGATCTGCCCACCTCGGCTTCCCACAGTGCTGGGGTTACAGATGTGAGCCACTGCATCTGGCCTGAGATATATTATTCAATGAGAAAACAAAGTACACCCTGTATTAAAAAAGCGACATAGTCACAGTTCCTTAAATATACACAAAAACTGAGAAGACACAGCATACATGAAAACTTAAGAACAGCATGAATGTGTATGGGCAGAGGATTGGACAACTAGGTTGTGGGAGATAAGGATGGGAAATTTTTCACTTATTCTTTTTTTTCTTTCATTTTGAAACACTTATCATTAGTATTTAATATTTATTTTTTATTTAAAAAATAAACAACGGCAAGGTCTTGCTATGTTGCCCAGGATGATCTTGAACTCCTGGGCTCAAGCAATCCTCTCGCCGCAGCCTCTGAAAGTGCTGGGATTACAGGTGTGAGCCACTGTGCCTGGCCTTTCATTAGTATTTAAACGTTTTGCTTGCACTACTTTAGATCAGGCAGGGGAAAAAAGACATGAGCTGGACAGCACCTACATGAACCAGGCTGGCAGATACAATCAACTATAAAATGAGGATCATGGCTAAGAGCTGCAGACGTTTTTACAGGATTTTACATTCTAGGGAAAAAGAACTACGTTTATGTATAATTTTGATGACTAAAGGCAGATAAAAACATCTCCATAGCAAATAAAATGTAAGAGCTAGTTGCAGCTTTAATTTGAAGGAATGTACATAACATCAGGCTACGTAATAGGTAGGGAAGACAAGATAATCTCCAGTCATTTTAACACCTTTCTACTGCTGAAACTTAAGCTACAAGGGAAAGCTAAGCCACCAACTGATCTTGTAGTTTTGGTAATAAGCCAGACCTTGACTATATAAAATTAAACTTCAAGGGTGTTCATCTTTCTCCAATTTAGTTAAATTCTCTTTAGAAAATCCAAAATAGAACTATTTCATTGTTTAAATTTAGAAATAGGTTTAATATCCATAAAATAGATCAACAGATGTATATTAATGGCTCATCCACCACATTCATAGCCAATATATTCCATAATTACTCTATCTTTTGAATAGATGGAAGTTTCATTGTCATGCCTGGGATGTGAGTTTATGTTTCCTAGGAGACAGATAAAGGTGTCAACTACCATATACTGTATCCTTTTGGGAAATTCCAACTATAAGTTTTGAGGATACTTTGATAAGAGGAGAGAAGGTGAAATAAAAGCAGAAAAGCAGTGTTAAAATTGCTATAAGTGCTTTGTTTCATAGAAAATATATATGAAGGCCTGTGACAGGTAATACAGCCTAACACCAACATCTTTGACAAGTGTAGGACTGAAAA